AAACTTGGTGATGTTTACCTCAAGATTTTCTGTACCCCATTCTTCCAAAAACTCTAGAATCGGGGATGCAGCTGATCCAACAGTAATGTAAACCATCAATGCAAGATTCTTCACCAGTCCACATGCCTAGTATAAATATAATAAGCCACAACCACAACATAGGATCACCATTGGCACCAAATTTGCACAAAAATCCTTTGCTTAGTTATAAATAGCAGTGTACTTTCATTCATTTCTTGTTACTGCATCCTACCTTCATTTCTTTCTATTACAATACTGTACTTTCAATATTTTTCTTATTAAGATGTACTACAAAAAAATCTACACAATTATAAACCTCTACTTTTATTTGTTTTTTTCTTATCAGGGCTTTGTAATGAAAACATCTACCCTATTAAAGCAATGGATATTGCTTTGTATCTGGATGACATAGCTATAACTGAGTAGATTTTTCAAAGTACAATGTGGTAATAAGATTATAAGAAGAAATGCAAGTAGAATGCTCAATGCTATAATAAATAAATAAAAGTACATTGCTATATTTATTGGGAGTGAAAATTAGCAGCTGGGAATACAAATCATAATAAAAGCAAATTAGCACACAAACCTGCCCTTCAGGGGTTTCTGCAGGACACATCATTCCCCATTGTGAGTTATGCAGCTGCCTTGGTTTTGCCAATTTTCCTATTTAAATGTAAAAACAACTACATATAAGACAAGCTAAAACATAAAGCATCATGCACCATGGAACTAAATCTAAAGCAAGAAACAATAAAGACACAGTAATTTCATCAGACCTTTTGAGAAAAATTATAACAGAAGTTACCTTCACGTCCTATAGGTGAATTTACTCTTCGTAAATGTGACAATGTAGATGCATATGTGAGGCGATTCAACACCTGTGAAACACCAGCCCTAGTTCCAGCTGCATTTGCCTTCCCCCAATTCCCAGTAGCAATGGAATATTTAAGCCCATTTGTTATTGTGTTTGCTTTAATTGCAAATTGTAGATTAATATCCTTCCCCTTGTTTACACACTGCAGATTATCGAATATAATGGATTCAATGACCAGATAAAAAACAAGAAACAATGAAACTTGAAGATTTTGTGATTACCTTCTGAACATATACTCTTACATCTCTTGTTAACTGCCGAAAGTGCTGCATTAACACAAGAGGTGACAACTTGTCAAATGCATATATATATGTAACATATATATCAATAGAATAATCCAAGAAATATAAAATATAAACCCACCATTCTAAATAGGCTCCCAAGCAATGGACCAGCAAGATCCAGCCTTTTGTTGCCATAATGATCCCTATCATCCTCAGCCCTCCGACCAAGAACACATAACAGAAGACGGTGGATGATATAACTAATGACAGTAAAAACACGTTACTTCTACATAGAAACTACAACACAAGAAGGGCATTCACGTCTTTTTCACATAACAAAAAAAATAAGGTTTTTACCCAAAGTAGTATGCTTTCTTTGTTTCACAATACTCTCCAACCCCAACATGAGGAAGCATTTCTTTTTGTAGAATATCACGGGCACGCCTGTGAAACAACATATCTTGTTAACACAACACAGATTACATTAAGACAAAAGGACAATAAAAAAATCATACTTTATTCTCTTCTTTTGCGTGGAACCAGCAGGGGCACTTCTTTTCCCAATGAAATCTAGTGCAACCTGCAATAAAACAAAGACAAAAGCTTATTGAGGTAAGGTTACTTTTCATTTTATATATATTATAAACAATGATTGGGAAACTGAAAAGAAAATGAAAAAGGGGAAGAAGCATACTTCTTGACTTTGTATAACAAATGCTTCTTCTAGTGATGGTCTTAACAACTCCATCATTTGAGTATCAGCAAAATCATAACAAATGTGTTCTAATATATCTTTATCAGCAACAAATCCCAGTGCTCGAAACACGATAATGATAGGAATATCAACCCGGGTATATGGAAGGGTAGCGCGAATATATAGACCAGAGGATCCCTGCAATTGTAAAAGATGCCAAGTAAGCAAGAGAAAGAACAATGTACTTTCATTAATTTGTATATTATAGCATCTCACTTTCTATTACAGCACTTTACTTTCATTTTTTTTTCTTATTAAGACATTTTACTTTGAAAAAACTATGTAGTTATAGCAGTGAATTTTTCTTTGTATTTGAATGACATTGCTATAACCAGGTTGTTTTTTCAAAGTACAATGATGTAATAGGAAAATATGAAAGCAGGATGCTATGATAAACAAACAAATGGAAGTACATTGCTATTTCCTTCATCAACATATCATACCCCTTTGGCACTAGTCCGAGAAAGCATCTTGACAAACATGGTACTTGGTGCTCTATTCTGAGATTCTGTCATTGAGCGAACTTCTGCCACATAAGCATATGTATTCGGTTGTCTCTTCTTAAACACATATACATGATTGGTGCTCATCTTCTCTTGAGCAATCAGAACCTTTTCACTCCCATTGATAATGAAATATCCACGTTGATCATAAGGACACTCACCAAGCTCAGTCAAGTCCTTTTCAGAATTCTGATACAGTGTACAGTAACTTGACCGCAGCATTATAGGAACCTGAAATTTGTGTCATAACAAATTGATTACACAACTCAACACTTGCACTTTATTGTACAAAGATTTCATTCTACATACCTTTCCAATGAAGACCTTATCAAAATTTTCAGTTTCTGTGATTTCTTCACCATCATGCCCTTTCATTATAGCCTTCTTTGATACATCAACATACAGTGGTGCAGAATACGTAAGATTCCTCAGTCTTGCTGCCTTTGGAAACAATGTAGCTCTATCACCATCTGACTCTGTCATCATTGGCTTACTCAGATAAATCTGACCAAAGCTGATCTTATACATTGTCTGCAAGTGAATAAAGAAGGATATATCAAATACATCACATGAATGTATGCACTTTTCCATTCAGTCAAAATGCAATTTCCTTGAAAATGCACAATGTTTTGATGCTTCAGTTGTTTTGTTTAGTATAGAATGTGAATCGCACTCATTTAGAAGTACATTTTTTCCACTATTTTCACAAGTTCAATTGAATTCAAATAGGATGTTAGAAGTTTTTACTCGGATACCCCATGAGTGATGCAAAGTATCCTTACATAATTCAACTATGAGAACTATTATAACATTATTATCTGATTCTAGAATTTCTAGAATTCCATCCAGTTGGACAATTTCCAGTTAGATTCATATAGTTTCGTGAAACAAGGTCACACTGATTTTTCCTCCAAAACCAAAACTAGAGTTGAAACCCTAGAATTGAGAATGTCAAGCTTAGGGTTCTGCTCCGAAAATGAAATCGTCATCCTTGGGAGGAACGTTAACTATATACAGAAACAGGATCCAAAACGAACCTCGGCACAATCAGGCTGGTGACCCGGATTGTGCTGGGATTCGCGTCGGATCTCGATATCTGCAGATTCGTCCACAATTTCTTGCATAGTATTCTGAATAAACTCATCAAATGAATCAAGTTGTTGGCGAACAAGTCCTTTTTCTTCGAAATAAGAGCTGATAACTGTCCAAGCATCCTCTTGTGTTATATCTTTTCATCATCGATGTATCCTTGATCATGTTCTTCCTCCAAATCCATACCTAAATCTTAAGGAAAACCTTTTATCCAAATCAAAATCGAGAGGTTCGATTACAGATTTTGAAGGAAAACAATCTGGATTGGGAAAGCGGAGAGGGTTTAGTGTCTCTCTGCTGCTCGCAGCGTCAAATTGGAGACAAATGCGTAAAGGAGTTGTATTTATACTTTATAGAATAGAATGGCGGTGTATAAGGGTAAATATGTAATTTCATATCCATAACTTACGGAGCAAGTTACATATCTAACTGACCCCCAAGGCCCAAGCTATTGACTATTTTGGTATATCGTGTCTCTCTTGCAATTAAAATTCAAATAATCAAAGTTACATGTGGTTCTTTATTAAATGTTGTTCGATTGATAAATGATCTATTTACAAAATTGATGGCATATTTAAAGATAAAAGAAAGAAAATTAAAATAATTGTTTTGTAATTTATGTTGGTGAAGGCTTCTTATATTATTTATCTTATGTAATAAATAATGTGAGACAGTAGTGTCTAATGTAAATATGAAGTTGTTAATGAACCATTTATTACTTGCATTGTTTTGTTTTTATTGGTATTTAATATAGTCTTGTTACAAACTATAATTAATTAGGACAGGAAACATAGATTACATTAAAATAAGTAAAGTCTTTTGTTGTTGCAACTTCCTTTATTAATTTGTTAGGATACATTAAGTAAAATAAACACATTCTTTGGTCTTGTCTACATTAAGTAAAAAATATCTTGATCATTCAATATAATAATAACAATAACAAAGTTTCAATCTCATAGAGATGGGATAAAAGGATGTAGGATGTTGGATGGTCTGAGTTGCTTCCATAGATGATATCCGGTATACAAGGAAAAACAAAAATATGAGAAATAGTCAAATCATATTATAAAAAAACTATATATCTAGCCTTGGATGAACTGCATATAAAATGTCAATCCATGTTTTTGAGGCTAAAAATTTTGGGTTTTTTGGTAAAACTAATTTTTTTTCTTAGATTAAATAAAATATATTGAAGTGAAATAAATGAAATGATATTTTAGAACAATAACAATAACATCTGCCATTAATTTTGAATAAATATATGATAGAGAATTTGACGTTAAATAAGACTTTTGTAAAAAGGGGATCAATAGTGTCAGCTTAGAGAAACTTGTATTTGGCCCGAGAATTTGACCAAATAAGCATCCCAGACTAGGTTGGCTTTAGTTATGGTGGAAAAGGACCGATTGTAGACTAAAGACCATTATTGAAAGGAATTTAGAGTGAGGGACCAAAATTGATAATTTAACCAAACTTGTGGGATGTGCCGCACCTTTTTGGTCGATGCGTCGTACTTATAAAGTTGGACAGATTATATGTGTTTTGTGCAACCCTTTTCTCATTCATTTCCCCCTTTCCTTTCCTCTCGATTTCAGTTTCCCTTCCACCTCTATGATCAACTTTCCCTTCTTAATCCATGGTGTTTTGGTGATTGGAATTGCTAGATGAATACACTCAGACCGACTGATGTTTTAGTTTTTGGATGGGTTGGAGGAGCATACATGTATGGATCTAATAGGGGTTTCCCTTCTTATTGGCTTGGGGAGTGAGGTTTTCATTGTGGGACAAGCTGTTTTAAAGGCTGCATCATGCAAAGTGGCAAAAGCATTAGAAAGCATGCATGGAAAATCAAGACACATTTATACCTTTTTGCATTTGATACTTTCGGTTTCCTTGCGCCAAATGTTGTGGAGCTCCTCAATAGAGTCCAACAGATAGTAATGTTATGACCCTAAGATATATGGATGTTTTTAAAAGAATTTGTTTTATCATCCAAAAAGGGGTTGTGGCACAGCTTGTTGCTCGTTTACCCGTTACATCTATGTAAAACTTTTATTACCCTAAAAAAATTCTTCCAAGATATTGCATCAATTGTAGTTTTCTTCCTCTTTTCCCCAAATTCGAATTAGGGTTTTGGTTGGATTGCAAATCCGAAATTTATACTCAATTAATGGTATTCACATGAGATTATTAATGCGGTTACATTCCTTGATCCATCTCCAATCCCTAACCAACAAATGGTTGTGAGATTTGTGAGATTGGAGGATGTTTGATGGGCTTTCAAACCCTTGCTCTTCAAATCCAAACTTGATGCTCCAAGCAATGATATGAGCTTGAGCTTATGTTTATATTGTACATTTCCCTTCAATCCATGATCCATTTTCAACCATTGGCTTATGGTGAGATTCAATGATGTTTAAATCAAGTTTTAGTTCCAATGGTGACAATTTGGGTATTTTCAATTCCAGGGTTCATTGATTCAAATTTATGGTTCCAAGCAATGATATGAGCTTACACTGGTAATTAGATTGCTTATGTTCTTTCAAATCTATGATTCATTTATTAATTGATGACTAATGATGAGATTTGTAGTGTTTGATTCAAGTTTAGTTTTCATTTGATGATTTGTGTATTTTCAAACCCTAAGTGTTTTAGATCAAGTTCTGTAGTCCCAAACAATGATATAAGTTTGGTGTTATGTCTAGAATATGTTTACATTCTAAGATCCATGTGACGTTCTTTGTCCCATGATGATGTTTTATGTATTTTGGTGCACTTTGCATCAAAGGTGATTTAAGAATATTTTGATCATTAATAATCTCTAATCTTTGTCTCCAGTAAAAGTACATTGTTATAATTTGACCGTCATGCCTAGTTTTTGCTATTGAATCCTATGAAGATTAGGAAACATACATATCAATGTTAATGGATGATTAAGGTCTCAACACCTTATTTGTCTACTCATCTTGTGGTTTGAATCTTGTTATTGGTATTGTTCCTTTTTATTAATTCCATAAATCACATGTAGTGATTTTTATGTGAAATGAGTCTTTTGTGCTCATTAAGCTTCTAGGTGAAAGCTTGAGTAATTATTTGATGTTAGATGCTTATTCCAAGGAAATGAACTGGTGGGGATTCTTATTAACTTCATTTGGAGTGTTAAAGCTTTCCTTTGAAGTCTTTTGAGTCACTGAAATCATTTTGGAGTTTTATTGAAAGTTGGATAGCTAAATGAGAAACAAAAAGACCCAATATGCAATATGTTCTGTAGATGCGACGCGTTCTCTAGTCGTTCCGTTTTACATTTGTGATTTATTGTGTTTCAAGTCTGACTCTTTCCTTTGGTCTCCGTTGGCATCCTAAATTCACTTAGATCTTTTTTAGAGTATTTTGAGCTTGAATGAGGAGTTGACCCATTAAAAGGTATTTTAGTCATTGAATGAGCTTGAAAAAGAAGTTTGAGACCATCAAATCGTGTGCAATAGCAAACTCAAGAAGTGAGCATCCGTCGCCGTTGATCCACTCGTTGATCCTCTGGGATGTTCCTAAGTGTGTCATCTAATAATTCGAAAAACGGAAATTTTCCGACTCACTCCTCTTCTATAGTGTGTCATCTAATAATTCGAAAAACGAAATTTTTCCGACTCACTCCTCTTCTATAATTGTCTTGGTCAGTGTGATCCTATCACTATAGCTTCTTACTTCTACGGCAGTATCTTTGTGCTTCAAAGACACTAATGTAACATAATGACCCTATCACTACATCTTGATCATTTCATGTAACACAATTATTATTTTATCTGAAATGTTGCAAGGTAAAAGACTACATTAGTGGAAATTTGGTCATGCTACAGTATCTCTCAATCTTAACACAATTAACATTTCTAATTGTTGTACAATAATACAATGTGTGATGATTAAATCAGTTCTAATAGTAGTCTTTTCTCTAATTAGTAGCATCTACATGCTACCTCGTGATTTAATTTAATTACAGGCCTACCTTCTTTGACACATAGATGTGCAATTCCGCATCATTACCCTCACTAAATGAAAAATATCTCAAACTATAAAAGTGGACTTGTTTCAAGAAGACCAAGACCTAAACATATTGTTATTTTTCTTTATAATATCAACAGAATTCTAGTCCATTAAACTCTCAAAAACATTTTTAACAAAGTAGAAACAATTCAGCTTGAAAATTCTCAAATTCCGTATTGTACGATATAAAGTAGGTTCACCATATAATAGTAAAGAAAATTAGTATACATTAATCAGACTTCCCGCTCAACCATTCAAAATCCAGTAAAAATCATTACATCACAAGTTGTGCACCATATCATCTCAACTCAAGCCCCTTTCTTCTTGCTATCTTTCGCTTGCTTCACATCTTTGGTAAGCATCCTAGGTGCAATCGCCATAGACATAAGCTCTTGGAACAACAACTTGCAAGCATATGGAATATGCACCTACATATACCATAAAATAATTAAAAAATAATAATAAATACATTAATTAACGGGATGGGATGATAGTCACATACCTGAACGATATCGGTTTTATTCTTGCAACTTCTACACTCGAAGGAACTCTTTTTGATATTAGCAATTGCAATCAATCCACAGCGCTCACAGACATGAACCCGATACGCATCACTCTGGTCAAAGAGTCTTTCTTTAAGGAAATGGGCAGCACCATGAGCAATCATGCAGTCGCGCTCCATTTCACCAAACCGGAGCCCACCGTCACGTGACCGACCTTCAGCGGGCTGGCGGGTCAGGATCTGGACGGGACCACGTCCACGTGAATGGATCTTGTCATCAACCATATGTTTCAGTCTTTGGTAGTAAGTGGGCCCCAGGAATATCATGGCAGTTAGCCGTCGGCCGGTGTGACCGTTGTACATGGTCTCGAACCCACGCATTTGGTAACCGCACTTGTGAAGCGCTCTACTGATGTTATCCACCTGGCAAGCATCAAACCAAAATGTCATTTTTTTTCATTCTACAACAAATCAATGGAAGTAGGTTGCTATTAGTTGGAAGTACTTACAGTGACATCGGTGAAGGGAGTGGCGTCTCCTTCTTTACCCATATGTGCAGCAACTTTGCCCATAATACACTCAATGAGTTGACCAATTGTCATGCGAGAAGGAATAGCATGAGGATTCACAATAATGTCAGGAGTGATTCCCTCCACAGTCCATGGCATGTCTTCTTGTGTGTAAGTCATCCCAACTGTTCCCTTTTGACCATGTCTACTGCTAAACTTATCTCCAATCTGTGGGATCCTCACTGACCTCACCCTCACTTTCACAAATCTCAACCCATCAGCATTTGTTGTCAACAGCACCTACAGCACTCCACTTTCCATATTTAACAACCAAATCAACTATTCAAAAACACAGGCAACCGGGCAGGGAAACTGGGCAGTACCTGATCAACCATTCCGGTTTCACTATGACGTAAACTTGTACTGTGATCACGACGAGTGTATCTGGAGGCTTGCCCTTGAGCATCATCTTGAGCAATTGGTGTTGTCTTCCCAATAATCACGTCCTCACCACCGACTCGTGTCCCCTACATTATAACAATCGTGTGTGCGTTTTTAGTACAGATGAAAAAAAAACTAAACCCTCAACTCTAAACAGACAGTACTACTCACAGGAGGAGCAAGACCATCATCATCCAATTTATCGTAAGAACCATGTCGCATGCCCTGTATTTAAAAAAGAAAAAAAAAATTAAAAAATTTGTTTTGGAAAAGAAACAAAAAACACAACTGTTTGGTGTATTTTACCATGGTGTTAGCTCTATCGGGACGACCGAAATCTTCCTTCACAAGTGTCCCCATCTTCTTCTCTTCGTCCCTGTAAAAAAAACATGTAAGTCAGGTTTTGTAGTCTATGGACTGGAGGGAGGGTATTTATGTCTTTTGAGCAAGTAAAGTACCTGTAAGAACGGAAGAAGAGTGATCTGAAGAAGCCACGGTCTATTGAGGACTGGTTCATGATAACGGAATCTTCTTGGTTATATCCAGAATAACACGAAATTGCCACAATTGCATTCTAAGACAAGAGAAAATAGAAACTCAGGGATGGTATTTAGATATGAAAATAAAAAATACATAAGATATAGAAAAATACGCACAATGCCAGCTGGAAGCTGTCGGAAGTGTAAGTGCTCCATTGCTCGAGTAGTTACAAGAGGTTTTTGGGGATAGTAAAGCACGTAGGCCAATGTATCCTAAAATGAAAACAGATTCACAACAAAACCATTAAAAAAAAACATGAGAGAAAGAGTTAAATACAATGTATAGCAACATACTTTCATTTATGTGTGTATTATAGCATACATTTAATCTGTTTCTTATCAGGACATACTAATTTGAAAGTACATTGCTATTTCTTGCATTTAAGGGTGATGAAAAAGAATAAATGTGTTGCATACCATACGAAACTGGAAGTTGGTGACATAAATTCCCATAGCTTGCTTACCCATGGCCGATTGATACGTATTACGTGGAGACTGTTTGACACATAAAACAAAATATAAATTATAATGATCCCACAAGATAAATATAATAATTTAGAATAGAAACTTACCTGGTTGTGGTCAGGAAATGGTATAATTGAGGCACAAACACCCAAGATTAAAGACGGATGGATTTCACAATGTGTGTAAGTGTCTGAATAAGATTCACCTGGATTTTCCCTTGCACTTACAAGATCCTACATCACATCCATTTCCCAAGTTATTTTCTTAAATATTTCTTAGACATAAAAAGAGAACAAACTTGATATCATGTATTGTTTTGTTGCTTACATTAATGGTCATGGAAATCATAGTGGTCTCTTCCTCTTCCGTATCAATATACTCTATGAATCCATTTGATACAAGATCATGCCACCCACCATCTTCTGGGGTTTCCTGTGAATCCATAAATACAAACAAGATGTTATGAAGATAATAAACCATAAATCTTTTAAAAATTACGAAAGTTTACAGACATACCCTTTGTTGGAGCTTTTGGATATCTTTCTTTTTTATTAAAAGTCTTTGCTTTTCAACAATGAAAAGCGGGCGACTGCAACGACCATAATCTGTATATATTCGAAGTTCTTTTAAACGAATATCTCGCACAACTCCAACTTCCGTGTTCACATCAACCTGAACATTTTTAACACATTTCATTCATATAAAAAGATTTTACCAAAAGAGTAATTTCATTTAAGTCGATTTATAGTAAAAAAAATTAAAAGATTTTACTCACTCGTCTTCTCAATCTCCTTAATGTTCTCACCAACATGTCTGGGTCCCGATGGATTCCCACCCAGAGACCATTCACAAAGATCTTCGTAGCTTGAGGGATCACAGCAGGAGAAATTTCCTGATTTTGAAGTAACTTGCTTTTGTTAAATAAAGAAAGGATTTATAGTAAGATAAATGATCTTAATGTTTACCTCAAAATTTTCTGTACCCCATTCTTCCAAAAACTCAAGAATAGGGTATGCAGCTGACCCCACAGTTATGTAAACCATCAATGCAAGATTCTTCACCAGTCCACATGCCTACAACAATAACCATAAACATAACATAAGGTTACCATTTGAACTCAGATGATCAGATCATAAGTCATAACAAAAGTAAATTACTAACCTGCCCTTCAGGGGTTTCTGCGGGACACATCATTCCCCATTGTGAGTTATGCAGCTGCCTTGGTTTTGCCAATTTTCCTATTTAAATGTAAAAACAACTAGATATAAGACAAGCTAAAACAAAAAGCATCATGCACCATGGAAATACAGAGCAAGAAACAATAATACAACAAAAAAGAAAAATTACCTTCACGTCCTATGGGTGAATTGAGTCTTCGTAAATGTGACAACGTAGATGCATATGTCAAGCGATTCAACACCTGCAAATTTCATTAACAATATGTAAGAAAAAGAAACTTAAATTTCAAACAACCCCTTGTCTTACCAGTTTTTTTTATTAAGAAAAAGAAAACTTATCAAAAGAAAACTAATATTGTAATTTATAAACCATAGAATCTAACCTGTGAAACCCCAGCCCTAGTTCCAGCTGCATTTGCTTGCCCCCAATTCCCAGTAGCAAGTGAATATTTAAGCCCACTTGTTATCGTTTTTGCTTTAATTGCAAATTGCAGATTAACATCCTTACCATTGTCTACACACTGCAGATTATCGAACAAGATGATTCAATAACTAATAACACAAAATTATGAGTTTCAGAATCTTGAATTTAGAATTAATTAAATCACCTTCTGAACATATCCTCTTACGTCTCTGGTTAACTTCCGGAAGAGCTACATTAACAGGAGAGATAACAAGTTGTTATATGCATATACATAGGTAACATATCAATAGAATAATCCAAGAAAATAAAATAAAAATTAAAACCTCACCATTCTAAATAGGCCCCCAAGCAATGGGCCAGCAAGATCCAACCTTTTGTTTCCATAATGATCCCTATCATCCTCAGCCCTCCGACCAAGAGCACATAACAAAAGACGGTGGATAATATAACTGATGAAAGTAAAAACACGCCATTACTTCTATATAAAAATAAGAAAAATACCAAAAACAATGCATTTCATATAGAAAAAAAAAATTACCCGAAGTAGTATGCTTTCTTTGTTTCACAATACTCTCCAACACCCACATGAGGAAGCATTTCTTTTTGAAGAATATCACGGGCATACCTGTTAATCAACAAATATTGTAAACATAGATCATACTATGATAACAAAAATGATGATATTAATAATTAATTATTAAAACACCATGACAAAGAAAACATACTTTATTCTCTTCTCTTTCGTGACACCAACAGTGGCACCTCTTTTCCCAATGTAATCTAGTGCCACCTGCAATAAAAGAAGGCAAGAAAGATAAAAAGATTAACCATTTAATTTTGAAATCAAGAGGCAAGAATTTCCTTCCAAGTGATCTTACTTGTTGATTTTGTATTACAAAAGCTTCTTCTAGTGATGGTCTCAACAACTCCATCATTTGAGTATCAGCAAAATCATAACAAATGTGTTCTAATATATCTTTATCAGCAACAAATCCCAGTGCTCGAAACACTATAATGATAGGAATTTCAATTCGGATATATGGAAGGGTAGCACGAATATATTGACCCGAGGAGCCCTGCAATTGAAAAAAAAAGATGTCAATTTAACAGAAATAACAACATACTTTGATTTATTTGTTTATTATAGCATCTTACTTCAAGTTTGTTTCTTACTAAAACATTGCACTTCGAAAAAACTATCAAGTTATAGCAGTGAAAATTGTTTGTATTTGGACAACATTGCTATATAGTGGATAGATTTTTCAAAGTACATGCCGTAATAGGAGAAGAAGGAATTAGAATGCTATAACAAACAAATAAATGAAAGTAAATTGCTGTTTCTCATATTTAAGGTAAAAGATTCATACCCCTTTGGCACTAGTCCGAGAAAGCATGCGAACAAACATGGTACTTGGTGGCCTATTTTGAGATTCTGCCATTGAACGAACTTCTCCCACATAAGCATATTTATTTGGTTGCCTCTTCTTAAATACATAAACATGATTGGTGCTCATTTTCTCTTGAGCAATTAGAACCTTTTCACTCCCATTGATGATGAAATATCCACCTTGATCATATGGGCACTCTCCAAGTTCAGTCAAATCCTTTTCTGAATTCTGAAATAATGTACAGTAACTTGACCGAAGCATTATAGGAACCTGAAATGTGTCATAAAATATGATTACAGGATTCAACATTTGCATTTTAGTTTACCAAGATTTCATTTTGCAATATCCATACCTTTCCAATGAAGACTTTAGCAAAATCTTGAGTTTCTGTAACTTCTTCACCATCATGCCCTTTCTTTATAGCCCTCTTGGATACGTCGACATACAATGGTGCAGAATATGTCAGATTCCTCAGCCTTGCTGCCTTTGGAAACAATGTGGCGGTTTCACCATCTGACTCTGTCATCATTGGCTTACTCAGATAAATCTGACCAAAGCTGATCTTATAGATTGTCTGCAAGTGAGAAAAGAAGGATATATCAAATATTCAAATACATCACATGAATGTATGCACTTTTCTGTTCACTCAAAGTGCAATTTCCTTGAAAATGCACAATGTTTTGATACTTCAGTTGTTGAATTTTGTTTAATATAGAATGTGAATCCCACTCATTTAGAAGTACTTTTTTCCCACTAGTTTCACAATAGTTCAATTGAATTCAAATTGGATTTTAGAAGTCTTTACTCAGATAACCCTAGAATCTTGCAAAGCATTCTTACATTTTGATAATTCAACTATGGGACTATTACTATCTGATTCTAGAGCTCCATCAAGTCGGACAATTTCCAGTTACATTCAGATAGTTTCGTGAACCAATCAATTTCAAGAGGTCTACAGTGCTTTTCCCTCCGAAAACAAAACAATACGTGAAACCCTAGAATTGAGAATACCAAGCTTGGTTACCATTTTCAATTTGAAACAACCAATTTAAACAATTTATGCTCCAAAACTGAACTCTTAACCCTACGGCAGAATTGTAACTATATACAGAAAGAGAATCCAAAACGAACCTCCGCAAAATCAGGCTGGTGACCCGGATTGTGCTGGGATTCGGGTCGGATCTCGATATCTGCAGATTCGTCCACAATTTCCTGCATAGTATTTTGAATAAACTCATCAAATGAATCGAGTTGTTGACGAACAAGACCCTTTTCTTCGAAATAAGAACTGATAACTGCCCAAGCATCCTCTTGGGTTATATCTTCTTCCTCGTCGTTGTAACCTTGATCATACTCTTCTTCCAAATCCATAACGAAATCTTTTAGAAAGCCTTTTCCCAATCAAAATCAAGATGATTGATCACAGATTTTGAAGGATAGCAATATGGGTCGGGGAAGCAGAGAGGGTTTTAGGGTCTCTCGGCAGGTCGCAGTGTAAAGAGCGAGACAAATGCGTAGACGGCTGGTTATAAATGAGTTTTATTGAGAGAATGGCGGTGTTCAGGGGTAGATTTGTAATTTACATTCAAAAAATAAGGAGTAAATTACAAATCAAACCCCCGAACTATTGACTATTTCGTATATCGTTCAACTAAATGAACTCTATGGCAAATAAGGCGGGCCTTCATTGGGCTGCACGTCCTTGTCTTGAAAATAGCCCAGCAGAGGATCCAGACCCAAAGACAGGAACAGTCCAAACACCCGAAGCTGCTGTGGAGTCAGGCCCAATGGGCTTTTCTGCTGTAAAGTTGGGTTAGGAAGATCAAATCCATGTTTCATTACAAATTTACAACGGGAGAAACAAGCATTTTTTGACATGGTAGTACTGTACAAGTAAATAATGCAACTTTATGCTTGATGTATGATCCAAATAACGATATAAATTAAAAAGAAAGTTAAAATTAGGTGTAAGTAACTATATTTTGCCTGATTTTTACAAGAAGCCCATTTCATACATACAAAAAGGCTGCACAAAACTTTCCACATCATTTTTCTACCTATTAATGTAGTTATGTAACAAAATTATTGTTTTACGTAATCGATTATATGTTGTCTAAGTTGAATTTAATATAGTATCATAATAGATGATAAGTTTAGTACATTAAATTGGTTGAACTATTTTTTTTATTACATTTAACATATTAAACTTGAGATTTAAAAAGCCTAATGAACTAATATTTATGGCAATTTGATAAAAATAAGTAATTGGTGTGTTGGTCAAAATGGATCAGGTTAATTGAGCATCCGCTATGAGTATAAATTAAATAAATTAATATCTACATTTATTTATCGGGTATATTTAACAAAACTTGTTGGTAGCGGTAAGTTGTTGTTTTTATTTGAAGTGTCTTGCAAAAAATAATTATAAGGTTTTTGAAAGTTGTAAATGATATAAAACATAAAAATTAAATGCTAATCTCTCAATATCTGTTTTATATAGATTTTAGATTATTAGTTTTTTGTTTTAAAATAATAGTTTTAAAGCTTTACTAGTTACTCCCAATAAACTTGTTTTTTCACATTTTAATCGAAATGAACCATTATTATTTTAGTTTTTAACGGTTTCATAATTTACTATCCAGCAATATTAAGAGCCTCAGTTATAAAGGAAAATTAACTAAACTTATTTATTCAATTTTAAAGGAAAAATAAAAATATATGTTTTTAAAAAATAATCATTTTTTTCTCAAATTTCAGACTTGTTTTTGAAATTTTAGAGTTGTTTTTTGCTTTTTTTTTTAAAAAAAAACTTTTCTCTACTTAGGTCCAAAATGCTCATTTCTAAGACAAGAGAGCGACGACACCAATTGGCCGCTCACCGGACGCTCCTAAAAGTCTGTCGAACCCCTAAATGACTGTCAGGCTTGAATCGTCGCCTAGTCGCTAGGCAGATCCTCGTCTAGCCGTATTGTTTTGTTGTCTGCTATCCGAGCCAAGTTAATGGCCGACAAACCATCCAACAAAAGGTCACCCCTCGACAGGCACATGTTGGTGGCGGAGGGTGACGGTATATCAAAAGGTATCCGTGCCATTATCAATATTCCTCTGCACCAATCGCCTTCTAGGGAGATCTGTCAGAGGACAGCTGGACCAATGCGCGCCCCTACACTCCAACAAATCCGTTTCGTCGGTCCCACTTCAGGGATCCAAAATCCTAACTATATAAGTGACGATACACCTCAGGTACGGGGATTGTATCCTTCACATTCAATACCCTAATACATCTGTCCGATCACCAACTGACTTGACCGTCGGAGCGTCGTCTCGGGAGCTCCTCCCGAGAAGCGACTGACGTCGTCTCTTTTCTTGTGTGTGATAACAGATTCGGAAGACACGTTCTATTTCAATTGGCACTTTCGAAATTGGACGTCACATCGCTAAGTGTCTAATATCACTGTTTTTCAATCAAACGATTGTTTTTAAGCCCTTTGTATTGTTTATGCTTCTCATTTTCTATGTTTCTTTAATTTTTTATAAGATTTTATTAAAAAAAAAGTATTTTTCGAAATTCTGGAATTGTTTGTCTGATTTCGGACTTGTTATTGAAATTTCAAAGTTTTTTTTTCTTCCACCAAAATCCATAATCCAGTCCGGAGTTTGATATTTCGGACAGGAATCCGAATATCAGTCTGAAATCTACTTTTCTGTTAGAAAATTATTTTTTTATGATGTCCGGAATGGTCCGAAATAACCTATTCCGGACTTCGTGGTTATTTAAAAAAAATAAATTAATATTAACTTACAATATTGGTAGTTTAGTTAATTTCCCAATATAAATACCATCATCATTTAGATCCATTATTGTAAATAAATTAGTTTTTTTTGTTGCTTGTTATTTTACATAGAACAGAATGTGAAATTTACCAAACAGTTTAACAGAGTGTAACTATCCTTTTGATACTTTCCTCATTTAATGAAGCCCATAATATTTTGTTTCTTTTAGATAGCATCCTCGACATACAATGATGGTGACATAAAATTATACACATAACCACATTCGAAAATCGTTAGAACTTCATGATACGTACGAATATAAAATATTTTAATATCGTCTATCTAGTACAAAATAAATAAATTGCGTGAACCATAAGATTACCATTAAAGAAAACCACATACACATACACGCACATATTTATTTATTTGTAAGGATTTAAAGATTGATAAGTTTAAAACTCATATTTAACTTTTGTTTATTAAAATATCAAAAATACGTTTAATAAACAGATTTTATAGTAAGAAACACATAGTAGCATGTTCAATGATGAAATGTGTGCACTAAATAAGTTATTAGGTCACCAAAGAACACCACATGTACCAACCTTGCCTAACATGTCAACTACCTTATTCCACTCATAATATCAGGAGATTTCATCTTTTCCATGCCAATAACTTTTAAATCCAAAACAATATGTTATAGTAACTTGTACATAATGCATTCAAACTTGTATGTTGTTCTGTAATTAACAGTTTGTACTTTGGAAAATGGGATACCCAAACCTTATTATAAAGAACATTAAGCATGTATGCATCTTTTTATATATTTTTGTCAACTTCCAACTTTCTCTCTACTCTCTCCCTATCATTTTTCTTGATTTAACTTTGTGGGTTTGATCTCCATGAACAAGTCTCAATGGATACCTATTATTGTGCTAAGGGTCATAGCTATGGCTTCAACTTTTGTAGCCGCTCTTCTTATGCTCACAAGCCATGACTCGGCCAAAGTCTTGGGTATGACCTTTCAAGCCAAGTATAACAACTCGCCCACTCTCAAGTAAGTCAAATCAAACCCTCTCTCATAATCTTTTTCTTCTGGGTATTCATAAAAATGTGATCTCGGAAATCTTTGTTTGAATATGCATTATGATATATTTTAACTAGTATTGTTAAAGATGATATGAATGTTAAAGATTAGAGTAGGTTGTTGGAAGGCAAGCCATTTGAGTTGGGTTAGAACCTGCTTAACAGTTTTGGATTCAATCGGAACGGTTTTTTTTTTTTTTTTTTATTAACAATTTTGTCAAAATGTATTGTATAATGTTGAATCTAAACAATTTGATTTAACGAAACACATATAATTCATGCTCTAGTAGTTGGTGCAATTTCATTCGTTTTGCATGGGGAGTAAGAAAAGTTTTCCGATAAAGTTAATCAGTTAAACTTATATAAATAAACAACCGACCCTGAAGTTATATATAAACAAACCAACCCTAAAGTTTCGTTTTATAAAAATTAAAAAAACTAAACTTCTGGTCTCTTACATCAACTTGGTTTTCATCTTTTCCAGTTTTTTGTTCGGTTTCGTTTTTCTTTTTTTCTTTTGCACATCACTATTGCTTAGAGTAATTCAAAAGGCCATGTATTCAAATTACACTTATGTATGGTGTAATGAACTAGTACATTTTTATATGGCTTTACATGTGTTTTTGATGGGCGTAATATAATGTCGACACAAAAATGTTTCGTGTAGGTATTTTGTGATCGTTTGCATTATCACAACAGTTTATAGTTTGGCAACACTTTTCATTCCTCCCAAGAAGTCATGGCGTCCGGTTCTTGTTCTCGATGTGGTATCTCAAGATTTTCTCATTTCATGTTTACAAGTTACTTAACAACGCATAAATTTTGGGGATTGGCATGGTTTGACTAGGCTTTCCTAAAACATAAAATAAGCCAAAAAAAAATTGAGTTTATAGTCCCCAAAACCGATTTTATTTCATTTTTATGTTTAACCATATCGGCTTTTAATTTTTAGTTTTTCAAATCAACAAAGATAACAATCAACTATATGAACTTGTTGAATTCAAAATCCATGAAATCATGAACAATATATTGGTTTGATTTCCCAATACATATAGTCAAAACCAATGGAAAAACTCTTAAACAATAGCCAAGTTTCATTAAAAGCAGCTATAGTTTGAGATTTTTTTTTATTTTAACCAACAAATGAATATATATTTTTTTTAATTTTACAATTAAGATTTTGGTTTTTTTTAATAAAAAACCACTATATAAAACTTTGGTTGTTTACGAACCAATAAAGTGTGGATTTTTTTTTAAATAAATTTTAACTAGAAAAATTCTTTTATGTGGTTAATTAAAAAGAAAAACAAATTATAATAGTTTTTATGAAATTCTAATATAAATAATTCATCAAGTAAGGAACTTCTGTATATTTTGTAAATGCTTAATAAATTTTGTTTCATCATATAGATTGTAACGTCATTTTTGATATCAAGCTTCTCGGCGGCGGTTGGAGTAGGCCAATTGGGGAAACAAGGGAACTCGCATGCCGGTTGGCTTCCAATATGCGGCCAAGTTCCTAAATTTTGTCACCATGTTTCGGCGTCTCTAATCGCAGGATTTGTCGCAGTTATATTTTACTTTTTGCTTCTTCTTTTCTCCCTTAACAATGTTCTTAATCTTGTTGCTTTTAAAGCTTAATTATATCTCCGTTATATTATTCTAAGAATCTTTTTATACGTTTGAAGGATGTTTAAAGGATATAACATCACTCGTTTTCCATGTAAGACGATTTTGTATATCACTATGTTATCGAGAAGAGTTATGTTATAATGATTCATATCTTACTAAATGAAAGTTATATATTGTTTGGATTAATGATGTGAACCACTTTCTGTATATAAAAAAATGATAGAGAAATTGCAAGTGATTTCACGATCATCGATCAGAAACTTCGATTACTATTTGTATTTCCATGGTAGATTAAAATCAAAGAGTAATATGTTTGACCTAAAAAAGTCAAATGTAACTTGTTTGACCTCATATGAAAACTGAACGGAGAGAACACCAAGAAGACCATAAGGTATATACAATACACACAATGTCAAGGGGTCTGGCGTGAGTAAATACCACCCCATGGGTGGCGTCATTAGCGTCGTTGTGAAGAGGCGTGGTTCGGACCTCTCTCTCTCTCTCTCTCTCTCTCTCTCTCTCTCTCTCTCTCTCTCTCTCTCTCTCTCTCTCTCTC